ACAATAAAGCCCCGTTTACACTACAAACCAGTTTTGATCAAAGCGGTTCAGAAACCAGCTTAATTGTGTCCACACGTAACTGTGGTTGAATCGGTTTACAATGCTACATTGCATACATAATACAGCTGCTTTAGTACTTAAACCGGTTTGATTATCTCAAACCACCTCCTGAGGTGGTTTGAGATAAGTCGGTTTAAACCGCATTGAAATTGTCCACACGTAAACTGATTTATTTCTAAACCAGTTCCAAACCGCTTTAAGGGCATAGTGTAAACGGGGCTTTATTGTCTCTCACTATGTTTTCACTTCTCTTATTACATTATCTGATTAAATTTGGATTTACATGTACAGTACATGTATTATTAACTTTTTAAATGCTTTGTAGCTAGGAATTGTGCATGCATGCCAGGCCTACATGTATGTACTGTAGAAAGTTTTTGCTGATTTTGGCAATTATTAGATTTTAGGAATTTTAAAGTCACAAAAAGTTGACCAAGTAAAACAATGTCTATAACACAAGGTTATTTCTTACAAAATGGTTTGCCATTTTATTGCATTTTCTAATGCATTACACATGCACATGTACAATGTACATACCGTAAATGTTCAAATAAAAGCCAGGCTTGAATAAATGCCTGGTACTAATAATCTCCAAGTATAGATACACATATTTTAGTCAGTATAGCTAGCCTCCACTTTAGAGTGTCTCAAATGGCCTAAATTGTTAAGCTGTTTTCAATGATACTGGAGTTGCGAGTTCAAATCCTGGTTTTACATTTTTTTAATTTTATTTTACGAAATTTCTTGTCCTGCAGAGAAATAAATGCCCGGGCTTTTATTTGAATATTTATGGTACATGTATATGTGTACTTATAATTATGTATAAGTTTTAAGTGAATTCTGATCAAAATTGGATTATATGAATTTTTTAAGTTACCTCAAAATCAGGCCAAAGTCCCTGTACTATTATAGCACAGGCATTTCGGCTAAATTTTGTCAAAAATGAAAAGGAGAAAATATTGTTATAATTTTCCAGATACGTACATGTATACATTTTCTTACGTTGTATAGAAAGTTTGAACTGATCCCGATCAAAAATGATTTTTTAATGAATTTTTTAGGTTGCTCCAAAATCATGCCAAAGTCCCTGTAAGAGTTTTTGGCCAATTTTTGTCAAAAATGAAAAAGAGAAGATTTTTATTTTTTATAATTTTTCCAGATACATATGCATGTTCTTATGTTGTGTAGAAATTTTGAGCTAATTCCAGTCAAAACTGAGTTTTTGTGAATTTTTTAAGTTGCTCTAAAATCAGGCCAAAGTTCCTGTACTATAGCACAGAGGCTTTGGCAAAATTTTGCCAAAAATGAAAAGAAGAGAATTCTCAATTTTATAATTTATCCAGATACATGTATATGTTCTTATGTTGTGTAGAAAGTTTGAGCTGATTCCAATCAAAATTGAATTTTTTATGAATTTTTAGCCAATGTTTGTCATACTACTTATACATACTTTTATATGCTACTTACATGTATTTGCTTAGAAAATTTAAGCTGATTCACATTCAAATTAAATATCAGTATTTATGAGTTTTTAAAGTGTTAAATTATCTATTAGTTGCCCAATAATTTGTTTTTAATTAGTTGCATTGAAGCATTGAACCCAATCCACCAAGTCTAATTATTTTATGTACATGTACATGTGTATACGTCATAGTGTAATCATAACAATATGCCAGTATATAATACTTGTAGCAAACTACATGTAGCAATATTATTATTTTATTTTATTTTCTTTTATAGAGTTTCATCCTAAGCTGTTAGGACTAACAGGAACAAATGAAGAGGTACATACAGCAGCTAAAGCTTATCGAGTCTATTACAGTCCAGCACCTGTTGATGATGATAATGATTATTTAGTAAGGAATGAGAGATAGAGAGGGAGGAGAGTA